CACCTAACCCATAACTTGCCTAGGGCGCGATTGGCACACAACTGAAAAGACAACACCGGTCTTTTCACCTCCGCGTCCCAGGGCAAACCCGGCGGCTACCACGGCCACAGGCCGGTTGTGCTCTGCTGTACAGCACGGCGCCGAGCCTACGTGGACCAATGGAAGTCTTGTGGCGCACCCTTTTTGTCGAGGGCAACGTCACAAGGACTGGTCCGCGCCTAGGTACAGCCTGGGTACTAGGAACAATGGAGATCCAAGACACGCCTATAGGCCGGAGCATCGGAGCGTAGAACCGGTACCAAGCAGGGACTTGGTACACAGAGGAGGTCCGGGATACCGCGCCCTCCGACACCGGTCGTACCGATCCAAAGAGAAAGCCGAGAAGATCGCCCTCTACGTTGGTCTTCCAAGCTTGTATGATCAGCAGCTCCAAATTTTCGATCCACGCAGGCTGCTCGCTGGTCTGCGTCCACGTCACCTGTACTCGGGCCAAGCACAAGGACAGCTCCACAAAAGTTTCGCCCCACAGTCGCGAATGCCCAGGATTAATAAGCGGGACAGAAAGAGGCTCGAATGAGAAGGAAAGAGAGGGATGAAGATCGGACTGCCAGAAGGTGGGGAAAAGAGAGGGGAAACCGAAGATGGAGAGAGGAGCGAGAGGATCGGCGTGGTTCATTGGGGACGTGGAAAAGGGACGAGGGTGGGGATCGCAACCGGCGGCTCGCGCGAAGAACGAGGGATCTCGCCAAGATCCGGTGCAAAGGTTGTGATGAGGTTGTGCCCTGGCTGGGCAAGACAGTGCTGCCACACGTTGGACACCTGCTCCGTCCTCTCTCGCAGCGAAGTCAATATCGAGGTATGCCACCGTGGATTAACCGAACTGATGTCGCCGCTGAACGCCGCAACCGTGGTGACGCGGCTTGTGCCGGGGGCCGCTCGTCGACGAACTGCGATCACTTCCGCCAATATCACTGCGTGCAGACTCCCTTCGATTCGAAACGTGGTGGCGGCACACACTCCTACGTCGTAGAAGAACTTTATCAAACGACGAAGATCCATGTTAAGCTGTGGATGACGAACTTGCTGAATTTCCGAGATGTGGCCACGTGGCTGCAGCAGTTGATCATCTAGAGCTCGCTCCGCGATGAAACTCATGGCGAGGACGGGGAGGAAGACGAAGGGCAGGAGGGAGGGAGCGGAGAGAGAGTTAGATCGTCGTCGTTCTCCTCACTTTCCGAGGAGGGAGAGGGAGGAAGAGGAGAGGGAGGAAGAGGACGAAGGTAGGAGGTATGCCGGACGATGGGGACAGAGCTATGGCTTGCACCAGCCTCAGGCGCGATGCGCACCGTGTTGGCGCCGTTGGGTTCGAGCTCGACAACACGGAAACAACCAAAAAACTTAGGAGCGAGTTTCCGGTCGCGTGCACATTTACGTACCTGCACTAGGTCCCCTAATTTATATTGATGCTGGGGCCCAACATTTCCATTTCGAGCCTCGTAGCTGCGGACCTGCCTACCGTGGGCCAAATCGGTCATCCTTTGTCTTTTTCGGGCTAGCTTCGGGACCGCCCGCTCCATTAATTTGGTGTACCTTTTGGCCTTCGCCTTGAGGGCTGCGCGCGGTACCCCCTGCTTCGGCAATTTCCGAGTTACCCCAGTAATCGACACAGGGGAGGCTATTAGTACGAAGCTGAAAAGGGGTAAACCCCGTGGACTCGTGAGGGGTGGCCCGGTGGATCCCGACGATCTGATATACGATCTCGGGCCTCACACGCGTGTCGTGTGCCGCTAAATTCCTGTGAAGGGCGGTTTTAATCATACGGTTGGCATTCTCAGCCAACCCGTTCGACTGGGACACGTGGGGTGCCGTATGTCGGAGTGTGACGCCCCTTCGTGCAAGCAGTTCCTCTACTTCTCCCTAAAATTCAGACCCATTGCCGGTTAGAATTTCTTCCGTATCTAGATGGGTATAGAGGAACCGTTCGATGTACGTGGCTATTTCTGCGGCCTTTCGGGTCTTACTGGGATAGACCTCGATGTACTTGGAAAAATGGTCTATTAATACTAACAGGATAGAATATTCACAGCGGTTTGGGCCAGGTGGCACATCGATATCTGTTGTGTCCATACTGACTCGCTGGAAAGGGCGCTCTACTTCCGTGGGTACTATCATGTTTGGTCCCCGTATTGGGGCGCGATCAGCGATACAGACCAGATAGTTGGCGACAATGTATCTGACATCATCTCATATGTTGGACCAGAACCATCGGTTCTGGTCTATAGTTGCCTCCGTGACACGTATTGCGAAATGAGGAGCCTGTTCTTCGTGAGCAGATTGGATCCAATCATATCTCTGGAATGGATGGGGAACCGTCAACCACGAACCCGATCCGTCAGTTTTACGCTTCTCCAAATGACCATTGATCCACCGATAGTCCCGAGATCTCTCGGTTGCCCTACGTCTGTCGTGTTTGGTGAGGTGACCCAATGATAATCCCGCTAATTTGGCCAATCGTATTCAAAGCCGTCCGTACGGGCGGCCTCGAATCGAACCTCCGTGGGGAGTTTGTTCGTTCTACACAGGGGGCACCTCCATTCCTTGCTACTCGTCCGATATCGAACGCAGGCCCCGTGCGCACGATAAACACACGTGGCACATTCTACCCAATCGACGAACCCGGTTTCGAAAGGATGACAGTCGACCCCATAAACCCGTGCAATGCACGTGCAAAAATAGCAGAATTTATCGGGGAGGGTGGCAAAGAAAGCCGAGGAAGTGAGAGGGGCAGAATTAGTAGGGGAAGAAGGGGTTGCGGAGGCAGGTGGGGTAGTCATGATGACCGAGGAGGAGGAGAGATGGGACGGAGTCGTGGAGAGGGTAGGACAGACAGATTATTCCTCGTGTCACTTACTGCTTCGACAGGATCTCCACTTGGCCGTACTGAGGTCCAATCTCCTGTTCGGGTTCGTTCCACGGAATCACCTCCTCACTCTTCAGAACTTTGTCGGGTCGGTGCAGTCGTGTCAGTTTGTGTAACCGTATGAACGCCGTGAACGCCGTGAACGCGCGTTCACGTTCAAACGCGCGCGTTCAAACCCCCCACCCCCGTGTTCAATCGCGTTCAAACGCGCTACGCGTGCGCACGCGCGAAAAAATTGAACGCAGTGCCGCGGGGCGCGCGCGCGCGACGGGGGCTACGGGGTGGTGGTCCGAGTTCAACAGACCCCCGAAGTGCGAAAACAGCCCCCCGGGCCCCCCCGATAGCCCCCCCGCCCCACGGCCCCCACCCCCAAAACCGCCACCTGCCAAACCCCTACTCCCCTACCCCCACCCAACGGACGGCCACCCACTCCCGCCACCTCCCCTCCGACCGTGCCTCTGCGCCACCCGGGGACGGTTTTTTTTTTTTTTTCCCGCCCACAATTACAACCCCCCAAAACACGCCACCCATTTACACACACACACACAGACACACACACACATTCACACACGCACATGCACACACAGATTCACACCGTCGCACACACACGGGCACTTTTTTTTTTTTCGCCAACATGTACAACCCTACAAACTGCGCCACCCATGTACACACACACATAATCACATTCACACACACACACACAAACTGCACACACACACATTCACACACGCACATGCACACACAAATTCACACCATCGCACACACACGGGCACTTTTTTTTTTTCCKCCAACACGTACAACCCGCCAAACTGCGCCACCCATTTACACACACACATAATCACATTCACACACACACACACACAAACTGCGACCTTTCGTTTAATTTTTTTTTTCAAAATATCTGGTTTTTTTTTTTTTTTTAATAGTGCAAAACAATCGGTTAGAGAAATTTTAAAAAAGGGCTGGAAGCAAAAAAAAAAAAAAGGGGGTTTGGGGGGTTCGGGGGCAGGGGTGGTGGCGGGGGTCCAAGGGGGGGCTATGAGGGGCCTGGAAGCACTTCGGGGGAAGTGAGATTTCAGAGAAACCAAGGGCGGACTCAAAGCATACAAAACACTCGTCGTCTGAAAACAGGAACATCGCAAATGACAAAATGTAATGATCGAAGCAAAACGCAAACCAATATAGCATGGATAATAGCAAAAATCTGACACATCGTGTTGAAGGCCCGCCAGTCTGTGGAAAAAAGTACCAACCCAAAAATGCCGACGAAAAGTACACTAAAATACACAGGAAAGCTACAATCTCCGAAGTAGCAAACTGCGCAGAAAAGTGCCTACTGGAAAGTACACTATAATACAACATTACGAAACACTACGTTTGTCATGGATAACAAAAAACTAAACTCGAAAGAAATGGCCATGTACTCCTAAGAAAGTTGACTAGAATAAAACATCACAAAACACTACGTGTGCAGAAAAAGTACCCACTGGAAAGTATACTATAATACAACCTCGCGAGACACTACGTCTATCATGGATAACAAAAAACTAAAGTACACTGAGAAAGACCCAAAAACGCAAGTCCGTAATCTGTCAACAATCGTCGTGCACACGCGGATCTCGCTCGGACCGATGAGAACCTTGTCTGTGGGACCGACCACTGCCACGTCCTCGATCTCTCTGACGATGGCCGCTGCGTCTGCCAGCGGAAGGCTCGGGAGCGACGGGACGCTCGTCGGGGTCGTCGTCCATAATGAGTCTCCTGCCTCTCACCGTCCTGCCTACACCTACGGCTGCTAGGTCATCACGTCGCCGTGACTTGCGTGCCATAGGTAGACTGTCTGTCCCTGAAGTCTCCCCCTCCTGGCGTCGATCTAAGGGCACGTGTCTCTCCTGCCTCGGTCGTGTAACAACGTCAGGCTCCTGCAAAATAATTGACGCCTCTCTCAAATCGTACGTCAACGACGGATCGACTGCGCTCGCTGCGGCACCGCCTGCACCCTCACATGTGTCGTCGCCCTGGCCACCGCTGCCACCACCGCCACCGCCTCTACCACCAAACCCTGAAGCTACAACATCTCGACGTCTCACGCCCGTGGAAGCCCCTCTCAAACCTGGCTGACGACCGACACTCGCCGTCGTCACCCGTCTCGTCTCGCTCTATGGTCGATTAGTGCGACCGAACAACATGGTGTCCAGTGACTCCCGCGCAAGCTGGGTAGTGTCTCTCCGTCTACGGGCAACCGACCTCGGGGTGAGACTGCCGCCCTCCCTCGGAGCTGCGGCCAAGGGTGACGAAGGGCCTGCGGCGCCTCCAGATGGCGCTGCGACCGAACCGCCAGAAGGTAAGTCCCCTGCGGCCCCGCCAGATGCCGCTGCGACGGAACCTCCAGAAGGTAAGCCCCCTGCAGCCCCGCCAGATGGCGCTGCGACGGAACATCCAGAAGGTAAGCTAGGGCTGGCTGGCCCCCAAGATAAGTCCTGCACGTGAGGCAGCTTCCCCTCCTCCGGGACTGACCTCAAAACGCGCTGGTCGATCTCCATCAAATCCCTCCTGCCGTGCTCCTCCAACACCTCAGCGGTCATAAAACCAAAAGGGAGGCTGCCCCGAGGCGTGGCCACATACCTAATCTCCGGCCTCTCCCGTGACGGCGCAAAAGTAGGGACCGGGGGTATGCACGCGCCCCTGCCTACACGTCGCTCCTCAACCGGGCCACCGCCATGTGCACGACGCCTATGACCCTCCAAAAACGGTGCCTGATGTGGCACCACTGGCCCCACAGCAGTGCGAACCACCAAAGTCTGTGGCATCTCCTGGCCGTCCGCGTCACGCCTCTCCAACTGTGCGCAATCTCCCCCGCCAGACGTGCACATCGGATCGGCCTGAGCAGGCACCTCCACCTCGCCAACACCAACGGCCCCCGCTACGGCTCCCTCCCCCCCAGTGGTCGCTGCTATCCCCTCCGACTGTGCCGATGGGCGAATATCATCAACGCCCACTGACTGCCCCGTCTGTATGTCCTCCAGACCCGGGGACATCTGCACGACACCCTCAACTGAACCCCTGGGCAGAGGAGTCTGAGGGACGCTCGTGACCTCATGCAACGTCTCATCGGGCCTCACCTGGACGGCAGGAGGCTGCACCGGCTCCGAACGTGCCTCCTCTGTCGGTACCAATCCGCTCTCGTGCGTCCCCTGGCGAAAATCTAGTCCGGTACTCAAAACCTTTGCTGAAGCCGCCTCAGGCTGCGGCGTGTCGTGAACCTCTGCCGGAGGATCCGTGTGGGCAGCTGGCGCTACGTCAACGGACGCCGGCGCAAATGTCCCCAGCTACCTTTGTCGCTCCTCGGCCGCACGACGGGCGAGCTCCTGCGTCCTGGGGTCCCTCTGTGCCATGAGGCCAGCTCGACGACTATCAACCCTATCCAGCCTCTCTGCAAATGTCTCTCCAGGGGGTGTCCGGTCCTCATCCCCCTCTGCCCCCAACATCACCTCTGCTCACACGGCAGGGAAGAAACTACTCGGGTCCGCCAAGCTGATCTGTCCCAACAAGTCCTGCATACCCACACTGATGTCCCCACGGGACTCGCTCTCTCCTCGGGCCAGACCCACGCTCTCTCCCGGGGGCATACCCAAGTCACCGAACTCACTGAAACCGGCTCCGCCCCCCATCATCGGTATCCGCTCATCCCCGACACTCTGAATCTCGTGCGCCTCAACCGCCACAGCAACCTCTGCACCGCCTCCACCTCCGGCCAACGCACCACCATCTCTACCAGCCAACCCCTATCCATCTCCGTCGTCCCCCTGCACCGGTGAAAAACCGGCCTCTAATCTGTCCTGCAATCGTTGTCTCGGGCCCCTCACCAATCTCTGCAATCGATCATCCCCGGCTGGCTGTCGACGAAGCTGCTCCTTCGATGTGGGAAGAGCGGTGGATGATGCCGTGCCACTACGAACACGCGCAGGACGATGGCCAATCCCCGACTCTGCCCCCCTCGAAGGTGCAGACGCAGTATCTCTCTCCCGCTCCAAGGACCGCGGGTCAGCGGACTTAGTCCTCTGACGCTGTAGAGGGCTCTCATGACGACCCCCAGACTCCTCCTCCAAATCAACTCCAACAAAAAGGTCATCTCCGCCACTCCGTCTCCGGACGTCCTCTGGGTCGCTCCACGCATCACGCTCATCCGCCGCAGGAGCGGCGGTAGCGGGGCCCGCCGGCTCGTCCTCGTCACCCTCGGAATCACTGTCGTCTCGAGGGTACGGGTGCAATGTGGTGGCTCGAGTCCCGAAAACATCGCCCACATCACCCGGAGGAGCTCTTGACCCACATGGGTCTCGCTGCCAAGAACGTCTCTGCTCCTCGAGCTCCTCCCGCGTCCTGATCTCGTCCGTCCCCTTCCATGAGGGACGAATCCCGATACCTCCCTCCACGTCCAACAACGACTCATCCAAAGTCCACGGCAGTGCGAACCCGCGGCCTGCCCGCTGATGAGAGAGAAGGCGGACGTTGGCTGAGATCTCAACCATCTTCGCGACCTTCTCGAACTCAAGCCGGTTACGCTTCTTCGTCTGTACACCCTCGTGGACGGCCCAATTCCTCCGCAGGAGAGGAGCACGTCCACATGTACATCACACGAAGAGCGATAACCTGCAACTGGGGGGCGCACTGCCCGTACCTCGACCACCAACACCTGAACTCGTACGTCTCCGCATCGCCCGTGCACCTTTGTGCATCTCTGTCTCCGTCCCTCTCCCCCCGAACTGCGCACATGCGGTCTCGTAGTCGGGGCTCGATACACTGAACCCTGTCTGCAACAAGATGTAAGTCTCCGCCTCCCTCGTCAACCTGGCATCGTAGTCACTGACAACGCCCTCGAAGTACTGCACGTCCCGGCAGCTGGGACAGAGAAGGTGAGCAGCGGCGTGCGCCGGCTCCAACATGTGAGCGCATCGGGCCTGCACCCTCTGCACAATGTGGTGTGCAAGATCGGTCGGAAGTGCACAAACTCCTCTGCTACCTGGCGGGCCAGATCCTGTGTCCACTCAACAACCCGTGACATGTGCAGCCCTCCATGGTCCAACCTGCGCAGCAGGTCGTACACGGGCTCCATGACACGGAACAAGATGGCCATGGAATCCCACCAAGTGCCATGCCGCACCTGGCACCTGACCCACCTAGCCAAGTGACGAACGGAATGGTCCCAAGAGACCATACCCCAAGTATCGCCATCCACCGTCCTCTCCAATGCTGACCTCACTGCCAGCAAACGCTCCACCATCGCGAACACGGATTCGAAACGTGTCTCGCAAGGATAAATGGGGCCCATCTGCCTGCTCTCCCCCTAGAAAATATGGAGAGGGGCGCCGTGCTCCTTAATGAAGCGCACCACAGTCTCCCCCTCACGATGATGTCCTTGGACCACGCGCCCGAACAGCCAATGTCTGACAACATCTTGTTGCAGACATGCACTGCGCATGGGAGCCACGTGATCCGTCGATGCTCTGGCCTCTTCTCGGGCCCCTGGAGCATGTTCGCCGCGGCGGCGTACGCCGAGGCGGAGTCGGTGCAGATGGCGTTCACCCACTTAGGGGGGAAGTCATCAAACACCTTGATCCAGCGCGCCAATACATCAGGCGCGCGATCCCGCTCACCCTCCCTGTTCATCGTCCGGACCAGCATCACCCCATGCGACCCACCGTCAAGGAAGTTAACGATGGGTCTAGCATCTCGTGACTTCCTTCCGTCCGACATAATGGTGGCCCCCGTGACATAGAAAGGAGCCCTGATCTCCGCGAGATCGACTCCCACATCGTCCGCCGTGTAGACAATGGTCTCTATGCCCGCAATCTCATTCTCTGAAGGCCATAACACCTTCACTGGCCCTGACAATTCCCTGAAGTGCCGGACGACGTCCAACCATGGCTCGCTCCGGAAGACGTTGAACGCCAGGCACTGACTGTACACAAACTGCAGCCACTTCTTCTTGAACTTCATCTGCCACTTTGAAGTGAATGACTCCGTGATAGTGTTTTGCCTCAGCCTCTTCTGTGCTGCCGTCGGTTGCGCCCCCTCCTCTCTCTCCTTCCTCTTCCCCGCAGATGGACCCGCCTAAGCCGTATCCTCACCTGGCCGTGTACGAGCCGACACGTGCGCCGACGCAAAGTACTGGCCCTGCTGCCCCCCCGGCTCGCTGACAACGCCCTTCCCTCGCTCCCTCCCTGACGACCCCGCCCGCGCGACCTCCTCGACGTCGTCATGCACATCTATCTGCTCCTCCGCGTCCCTCGTCTCTCCCTCACCCCCCTCGTCCCGTTGTGGATCCATCGCAGGCGTCGGACCGTGAAGCTCCTCAAACCGCTGGATCCGCTCTAGGAACTTGTCGGACATCTTGTACTCACTGTTGTAGTGGATGTCAACAAGTGCCTCGTCGGTCACTTCAGGACATCCCTTGCCCTGCCGGAAATGGCGCGCCGCCACGAACTGGTTGCCCTGGAACTCGTGGCCGCAGAAAACGCACTTCAACATGCGATTGCCGAGGAATCTCTCGTCGAGACTCTGCCCCACGCGGATGTACTTGTACACGCAGCATTTCTTCTGCGCCTTCAGATTCTCATCCTCCCCCCCATCCTCAAACACCCTAGCCTGACTTCGCCGCATCGTGCCCGCTCGCCGATGGGTGCACCAAAGTGGTCGGCCCTTAGCCTGTGCCACGAAGCTCCAACTCCCAGCGACCTCCCTCCCTCCCCGCACAAGGCCTCGTCGGCCCACAACCCAGTGACCCCTGATGCGCCGCCCTCCCTCCCCGCACAACGCCTCGTCGGCCCACCACCCAGTGGCCCCTGACGCGCCGCCCACGCACCCCGCACGTCCTCGAAACCCCCCACCGCCCCAGCGACGGGGCGCAGCCCGCTCAAACGAACGCCCACAGCCCTCGTTCAAGACAACTGAACGCGCGTTCAGTGAACACGCACGCGCGTTCAAAAAATTTGAACGCGCGTTTAAAAAAAAGGACGCGCGTTCAAATTTTAGTCCCGCTGCGCGCCTCCGCCATCTCCCGCACCGCTCCTCGTCTTCGTCGTCGCTGATCGCTACCGCGCCGCTCCATCGACGTCCGCGCACGCCTCCGCCGCGTCCAAATC